TCTGACCACTTACTGCATGTCAAGAAATATTCAGCACACTAAATTACACAAAGCCCCGCCCCTTCAGAAGAAGAGCAGACTGAAACCTTTCATCTTCTGTGACAGCTTCACACCAACATTCTATTCAACATCTGATTTTGGAAACACCTGGAAGACAAACTAAATTTAACATCGATTCAGCCATTTTCTATCGCAAGCCCATCACACATTCACATCTACGGTCAATTAACCTAAATCCAATGTGCATGTCTTTGGACTGTCGGAGGAAACCAGAGTACTCTGAGAGATCCCACTCGCTGACATGAGGAGAAACAAAGGCCACGCAGAAGGGCCTTGATCCAACTGGGATTTGAACCAGGATCCCTCTTTCTGTGCTAACCACTAATCGATTAATCCCCTTATATTTACTATGACACCATCTAAGAATCGTCATTAACCAGTGGACAGAGTCGTGTGACCATTTATAAAGCTTTGAGCTGACTTCTCCCAGTTTTCACTATTATCACTATGTTCTGCTCTTAGTTGGAGTTGAGGCAAGTGGTTATAATCAAAATGAATATAAAACACAGTGTGACAGAAGTTGCTCATAGAATAGAGAATTATCACCTGAATCTGCAGCAGCTTGTGGCTTTGTTTTAGTCAACTGTAGAGCTGTCCAACATTTATTGTTTGCTTGTTTTCAGCTATAGCATGCAGCTATAGCACACAGATGTTCAGCAGATGTTTTAAGTGAAAAAATAAAAAAATCACCAATCATCAAAGCCTTATATTTTTCCTGCCCCCACGTGGCCATAAAAAGTGTAACTGCAGGTTCAAGGTAACATATTGTTTCTGTAATTCAAGGACCAGTAATCACTCACACACACTCACTACACAGTGTAGTTCATCCCCCTCCCATTTTTCAGCCTAGTTTCCAGGAAGAAAAAATGGCTAATGGCGCTTAGCAACTGTTTAAAGTTTTTAACCACTACTGTTTGCCAACTATCATTCGGCCATTACTTCATTAAAGCAAGGACAAAGAAGACACCATGTTAATGCTCCTTCATATTTTATGACGGAGCTGCAGTCAGTGAAGCAGTATTAACATTCAGGGACCAGAACAAGAAAGCTAAAGCTCTCACTGCAGTGACACCCTCAATCAGCATCATTACAGGAGCTAGGGTCAGGATGAGGCTGGGCCAGGGAATGAGATAGAATGACTTTCACAAATGTGAGCTGATGGACACTCATTCCCCACCTCACCACTGTGTACTATTAATCCAGACGGCTGCTCAGTGGAACTGTTATCCTCCAACATATGTACATCAACGGTAACTATTCTGGTCCCTGCTGTTATATTAATATCCCGAGAACAAAGCTGGACATACACTGCATGATTTGAGCCAATTTGTGACCCGATTTTTAAGACCTACAACATTTTTTAGAGCATGAATTTCTGACATGTCAGAAATTATGGTCAGCCATCTTCAGGCCCTTGCACCATTTAACTATAGTCACAGGTTGATTCCCCAAGTTTAAAGCCTTCTGTTCTCACGGCGCCTCCAGGAAACATCAAAAAAGCCAAAATGAAACTAGGACATCTGACACAAAGGGTCATTTGGACAGAAAACATTGAGGTCATATCACAACTGTCATACCGGAGGGGTATCTTTGTGTTTCTTTTGACGTGTTGTCAAGCTATGAGGCTCACATGATCAAGGTACCATGTTTCTTCTTTCTTTGACTTCCTAATCTTTGAAAATAGCCAGGCCTCTCAGGAGGTGGCAATGAGTACATACAGTGAAAGCAGCCAGGTCGTGGCTTTACAATGAGACCGTACACTGTGAGCACATAATTGTGACATTTGGCTTTCCATCGCAGACGATTTACTCGGACAGTGTGAGTTGTAATTTAATGTTTAAATCCCACAGTTTAATGCTGACTTGTTAATGAAGGACTATAAAAACCTAATTGATCTTGCAGTGTTTTCGACAAGTAATAAGATCCATTAATAAGTCATAGTGAGCATTTAGTGGCATCAATCTCAGCCACTGTTGGCTGTGCAGATAGTTGAGTTACCTTCTCATAGATCTACAGCCTCTTATCCAATCAGAGCTGCATGAGAACCTATACGTTCTCAGGATTAGAAAGGTTCTTGTGTGTGTACTTGTGGCTCATCGTTCTAGCCTAAACAAGATTGGGGATAAAGCTTCTATAGAAGACATGTGTGGGAAATGATGCAGAAAATGGCCTCTATGATTTGTGGCTGCATTTCCACTGTCTCTGAGGTCCTCTTATACTCATTAATCCTGAGCCTGTGGTGCCACGATATTCACATTGCTTCTAGTCGAGTGAGGAAATCTGTGAATATTAAATATTTCATATTTGAATGGAGCAGACATGGCAGTCTGTCTAATATGGAGGGAAGATTTCAAATGATTTAACTAAATTTGATAACATGACAATCATAAGGCATTATGGACTCTTCCCTGACCCATGCCACATCCTGCCACTGAGTTTTGAGCTAATCCATTCAGTAGTTTTAGGGTAATGTTGCTAACTAACAGATCAACAAACAAGCAAACACCAATGAAAACGTATTTTCCTTGGCGGAGGTTATGAATAACATTGAATGAGTATCAGTATTTTTCCCCCACACACACACCAGTAGTCGAGAGGTCTCAGAAAAGTTTGAATGCCCCGAGGCCAGAATCATGAGGCTGATCCTTGATCTCTAAGCGATGGTTGGATGAACACCATTTTGCAGGCGGGCAAAACAATAACAGAATTTAATCCTGAGAATGAGTTATACATTAATGATAAGTCTGATCACAGGAGTGAGATCAAATACAGCAGGACACTGGAAAAAAATGGAGCTTCACGTCAGGCATAAAACTGAACACTTCAGCAGATTTGAAACACAGCTCAAGAGTTTTAGGGAATTACAACAACTTTATATTTCATATATAAAATTTCAAGGTTTGTCTTCAATAACTGCAAATGGGAAAAAGGTTAAGAGTCCCAGGCTGGCTGGATGATCAGAGAGTATTTATGTTGGTTTTGCTCTTTCATTTGTAAGACAATAACATAAATACAGAATATCTCCAGCGCTGACGGATAAATATGTTTCCTTTAGGTGTCTAACGTGGACTTACATTTAAAATCTGATATGTGAATTTCAATGTGTGTCTGTAGCTTGTGTGCATGAACTGACTGAAATCATGTCAGGATATTTAAATGTCCCTGAAATGTAAACAACAGCATGTTCCCAAAACTAGCACAAATACTGCATTGACACGGGATTCACAACTGGAATTTTAAGATCCACACAAACACAAACCAAATGAAAACACACATAAACATGCACAAAGTAACAAAACACTTCCCAGTGGGAATATTCAATGCTGAGGCCTGTTCAAAAGACATAAACATATTCTGCATCTGTGTGAGTTGTTGCTGACATGTGATCACTGGGAAACCATCTTTCTGCAGTGATATTCGTGCACACATGCTGGAAACCTCAAGTAGCCTCTACTATCAAAAAGATCTGTGTCGGACGAGTGAGTGAAGCCACCGGTCAGGGGGCACAGTGCAGAGGCATGTAGTGTATACATGTTGTGTACTGCTGCAGTGCAGATACACAAGAGCAGTCAGGGACTTGCAACTAATCTCATCACGCAGAAGAAGAAACACGTCTGTTCTAATCTTGTCATCCCTCCTTTTTTCCAGCATGGCTGCTCCAAACTTTTGTCACATACTGATTGTGCAAACACATCAGGCTGAGGCCCACAGACTCTTATGCACTCCAGTCACATGACACTTCCCCGCCACGAGAGTTTGAGGAGTCCGGTAGGGAATATTATTAAGACTCACGTGTGAATATCACAGTCATGATTTCCTCTAACACTTCAGTCAAAGTGCACTCAGAGGAAATGTTTTAAAACCAATGAATATGTAGCCGCGTACGTAAAAACACGCAGGTAGCTTTGTGTGCATTAAAGGGATAGTTCACCCAAAAATGAAAATTCAGTCATCATCTACTCACCACTATGATGGTGGAAGGGAGGGTGAAGTGTTTGAGTCCATAAAACACTTTTGGAGTATCAGGGGTAAACAGCATGGCAGCCAAATCCAATACAATTAAAGTAAATGGTGACCGATTCTTCAAACAGCAGAAGAAAAACATAAAATGCCTCCATAGGGCTCCTGTGGTGTCATCCAAGTGTCCCTAAGCCCGACATTCATATTCGACTCGATATCACAAATTTACACCATGTTTTAGGACACCAAAGGAGCAGTATGGAGGCATTATATGTTTTTCTTCTGTTGTTTTTATACAATTGTACAAGTGGTCACCATTTACTTTAATAATGTTGATTGTAGACTGATTTAACTTGCAATGCATCTCATGTTAACATCTCTAAAGGCAGGAGCAGCAGGTCCAACATTCAGGCCAAACAGGCCCATCAAAGTCTCCTGTGGCCCTGAAACGCTGATTCAAGCAGTCATGACAAACGGTCACAGCAAACATTGACACCTCCAGCTCAGAAACACACACACACACACGACTCGTGATACCTGCACATGGATCAATCACAGGCTGCATATCGATGTGGGTGTGGACCATCAGCAAATGCCATCTCACATGCGATGAAAGCCATTGATGACTGGGAGGATTTTATGTATGCACACACAGGCCTGGAGCTGGTGGCAGCAGCAGCAGTGGTTCTGGTGGAGCTCCCGGAGGAGAAGGTAGCGACAGCTGGACACGAACCCGGTTTTGTCAGGTTTTTCCACAGCTCGTCATCATCTCCGGACCGAGCTCTACGACGCTGCGTTTAAAATCCTCTGCACAGGAGCAGCGGCGTCAATGAAGCTGTGACGGAAAACATGCATGGTATACACACACACGCACACAATCACGCACACGCACGCCTCCCCCTTGCGCATGCACGGCGACAAAAATGAGCTCCTAAGACGCGCGGGGCTTAAAAAAAGACAGAAATGTGCGTCTCACTCACCTCGCAGTCCTCTCCCCATTTTTTTCCTCCCTCTCTCCCTCTCTCTCTCTCCGACCGAGGAACCGCTCCAGCCTCCAGTGACGTCACGCAGCTCCTCTCTGCAGCATGGGGAGAGGAGCAGGCCTGCAGAGGACGAGGAGGGAGGAGGAGGAGGGAGGAGGAGAGATGTGCAAAAACATGAATCATGAATAAAAAAAGAAACACACACATCTTCTACAATCTCCCATCTCGTGATTGAGCACAGATGACTGTACCTGAGTCTGCGGAGGACAGAGCCACAACACATCCTGGTCCTGCCAGCTGCTGCTGGTCTCTGAGAATCAATCAACATCAGGGGATTGTGAAAACTCATCCAGGCGACATAAAAACTTCTGCACATCAGTTGAGGGTCCCGCTGATTACATCCCAGGTAATGTTTCTGGCACAGAAGAAGAAAGAAGGGCCTGTGCCCGAAACGACACCTGGGAGGTAAGTTTGAGGAAGAGATGTGCAGAAATATGAATCATGAATAAAACAAACATCACTTCCATCTTCTGATTGAGGACAGATTACTCTATCAGTGTTTGCTGAGTGGGTGTGGACAGACCCACAACATATCCCCATTCATCCCTCTCACAATTGCCACCTGGTCCTGGCAGCTGCTGCTTGGCGCTGAGAATCATAAAAATGTCCACATGGCTGTTCAGATTCCCACAAACTTTTGATTAACCTTCTAGGAAACATTTAGGCACAGGCCCTTCTCCTGCGCCTAAATCCTCACCTGGGAGCTAAATAAAAAAGTATGGGAGAGATATTCAAAAAAATGAATCCTGAATAAAAACACATCAACACCCTCCTCTGGACGCTGTACCTGTGGACAAAGATAACAGACTGTAGCAGAAGCAGGAGGGACAGACCCACAACACACCCCCATTCATTCCTCTCATGCAAGCTGCTTCTGCCAGCTACTGCTTGGCTCTGAGAATCGATCAACATCGGATAAATGTTATCCAGGTGACATAATAATGTCCACACGCTACTTGAGGCTCCAACTAAGTAACGTTTCGGGCACAGAAGTAAAACATTTTATTGGCAGCCTCAACCTGTGTGCAGACATTTCTTGTCTTCAGGTTTTCGCCGCTTCTGTCCAGCACCTATAGTGCTCATCAAGTTTGGATATGCGTGCTTTGGTATACTTTCCATCATTCAGGTGTCACAGCTTTTACTACCTCACATCTTGCCAAACATCCAGTTTGTTTCTCAGACTGTCTTTAATGCAAAGGAGGGTCACAAGGAGTCCAGCATTTCATAGGTCCCAGCTGGTTTTCTTCGTGGGGATCCTCAGAAGCTCACATGTGGGCTACTATAATATTACAACTGTTTTGAAAAAGCAGGAACTTAACTTCAAATCCACTTTTCAGTTTTGAAACTGTTTGCACAGTATTGATCCTGCTCCCATCTCATTACCTTTATGTTTTCACCCCTGACTGTTGGTTGGGTGATTGGTTGGTTTGATGGTTGGTTGGTTTGTAAGCAAGATTATACAAAAAAAACTGGATTTCCACAAAACTTGATGCATGGATGTGGTTTAGGTCAGGGAAGAACACATTACATTTGGTGAGGATCTGCATCAGGAATAGCTTATCACTTTCTCTCACATTGAGAGATAAGGCATTTTTCAACATTTTCACAGCTTCCCCAGGAAATAATTCACAGATTTTCATAACGAGAAAATCTGGCACATTTAAGATATCTATGAGTGTGTAAAATGTGTATTGAATTTATGATTTAGACTAAATAATACATGAACTGCATAATCTCACAATGTTTCTGTTGCACAGTGGATTTAGAAGCAGAATTTTGACAATATAAGAAAACATTAGACAGTTGAATTAACATTAAACCTCGAATAGCAGCTGGATTTCTTGCAAGCTGGATTTTCTTTACAATCTATCCTGCCAGGCTCTGAGCTATTTGCGTGTGGTCAAACCAACTGCACCATGTATCACAATGACAACGTCACCTATTAATTTGTAAACTGCCATTTTGAAGCTTTGATTTCAGCCTTTGTCTCGCGCCATCTTGGCTTTTTGAAGCCAGAAATAACCATTTTTGGAGAAGCAGGGAGTGGAGCCTGACTGAAAGGTTGAGGACACTGCACAGTCACCTCCACCTGCCATCTGCACCTATTGGATAGTTCTAGCTGTCAATCACACCATATCCAACCACGCCCCAGTGCATATCATGAGGTGATCGTCTATTTGACTCTAAATGAGACCATAATTTACAAAATGAGCATCATGCTGTATTTTACTTTTTTTTAATAAAGACCATGAACTAAATTTTTGGTTACAAATTTTTTTTTCATTCTGTGGCGTCATCCTCTGCTGGTCATTCCAGAGAATACAGGTTTCAGGCACCATTGCATTGGCTTCACTTTCAGGACCTGCAGTCTACTTCCGTTTTTATACACAGTATATGGTCCCAACCAAAGAAAGTCAAACAGATCAGAGTCTCATGAGGGAGTAACTGACTGCAACAGTGTCTGTGGTTTGACGACAGCTAGAGGAGTTTCTTAAAGAGGTTAGCATAGATGCTGCGATAGCATCAGTTATATCAGAACTGTAGAATATTTCTTGATTGAAAGACAAGATCACTTTTCTCCCGATTGGCTTTTGCACGTGTGACAGGCAGTGATAGACAGATGGTTCATCCAATCAGCTGCCAAGTATATTTTGAAAGCACCTGCCCTTTTCCAAGCTGTTTCCATCCAAGCCTTCCCAGAAGGTTCTGTGTAACAAACCATCTGCTGCAACAGGTTAATTAATCAATGAAGAAGAACATTTTACAGACTCTTTTGGGTGGTTTGTCATAAAAATGTTGCACAGGGTGGGGGTTAAAACTTGACATCAGCATTTATAATTTCCTAGATATGGCTCTAGTGTCAATGTAAATCATGTTGGCATCAACTTGAGTAATTGGTGTTTCCAAATATGAGGTGAAAATGTAGTAAATCAATATTGTTGTTTTGAATGTAGTCGTTTGTTTAACAGGAACCATACAGATACACACTGTTACATACAGATTAACAGTGGAACAGAATACAACAGCTCCTGCTCCTTGTTGGGTTTTTAAATCTCAAATACAGCTCAACATTTACAGGTCGTGTTTCAGCAACTTGTATATTGTTTCAAGACCTGTAATCTTACATCGTCTGTATCAGCTGTGTACTGTTTATTTCACCCTGCGTCCTCTATATCACAAAGCTTGAGAACACTCTGGAACAGGGTTTTATGTGTCGGGGTCATCACTCTTTCAACTAATCCTACAGTAAGTTGCTCTGTGGTGACAGAAAAGAAAATAGAAACAAGGCTACACAATAAGAAATCCACTCTCAGTATTTTATGGTCCAGGTGATGTTTAGGTCTCATGTATCACAGCCTGGGGATGTTTTCTGCACCAGTGACTCAAAATGTCTGTGTACTTACTGCAAGTATTTGAGTATTTACTTAAACATTTTTTACTCTAAATGCTACTGCTAAAGTGAGGCTGCATTAAGGCGTAAGCACATAAAACAATCTGCCTCTTTGTGAGCCAAGACTCGATATAAAGTGCACAGTACCTGCGAGTAAAAATGAGCATTGCAAAGACTAAATATTTTCTATGTGAACCGATTAAAAATATTTACAATATTTTAATGCAGTTAATTCAACAATATACAAAAAACATTTTCTAGGCTGTAAAATCCTACATCTCAGTTGGGATCAATTGTAAGTGTGTGTGTGTGTGACAGAGAGAGAGAAAGAGCGAGAGGGATCCATTTAGGAGCTCAAGCACCACTTACTGGTCAGACAAGAGAAGTACACTATGATAAAAATAACAATATAGGTGCAGTTTGTCACCTTTAAAAACAATAACCTTTTTTATTGTGGTGTCATGTATCAGACTGAAAAATGGACTGATGGACAAATGCATCCAATTGTGTTTTTAGGATCTACTGCAGAGTCCTTACTGCACAGTGTCGCCTCAAAATTGAAATAAATAAATACATAAACAAATAAACATTTTATTTGAGGCACAGATCTTATAATAAACAAAATCAAAACGTCTTGGGAAAATCTTCAAAATGTATAAACACTAAATACCCTGCATGGATGTTAGGTGAAATGTACAGCAGTATAAGAGGTGATTTCCATACAGCACATTAACATTTAAATGAATAAATCAAATTAATCTTTCTGTTGTACAGAGACATGCTGTCCACTGCATCCTTGAGATTTTCTTGTATTTCACAGTAACAGCTGACACCTTCATGGGGTTTCTAAAAAAAAAAACATAATTTAAAAAGTAAAAACCCAAAACCTGTTACATCAATCTCTATCCCTCTACGCCCTCCACATGCTGCACTCATCCAGTCCTGACAGGGAAAGACTGACACACAAAAGCTTAAAAACTCTCCCTCAGGAGATTTTGATAGGATGAATATGAGGCCGGGGCCGTTTTCTCGCTCTCGCGTCAAAAATCGTGGCAAATTTAGACCGAACACCTTTATCCATCCCTCCTTATTCATATTTATGAGCAGTGACTGACAAACTCATTGTTGGGTAATTACAGTGTGGTGAACCTTCATTGTCTTTAGATTGGTGGAGACTGAGACATGCTGTGCTTTGGCTTGCTGCACTAATGCAAACCTCTCCCATGTAGATATTATTAGGCGCTGTTTGCTTAGCAACCACAACACATGTCTGACATTTTTTTTGTACAATTAAAGTGTCTTTGCCTGGAGTTTATTTTATTTTGGCAGTGTGGCTGTGAAAAGGTGATAAAGGAGGAGAAGACATGAGAAGACAGAGGCAACATCTCATATTATGTTTATGTTTAACATTTACATTAGTCGTTTAACACTTGTCTTTATAGTCACTGTCGACATCTAATGTGAAATTAGTGGAGGAGACAGACGTCGGTAAGAATCATGTTGGATTCTACATTATTAGATTATTACAAGTTCTCACATTATATATATTTTGTGTCTATCTGACCTGTGTATCGATTTAATCCATAGGTTACGTTAGTCACACACATCAGTAAACCATGGCTCTGTGATGGAGCTACATCAAAATCTAAAAAATGGAGAGAGAAAGCAGTTAAAGCTTTAAACAGCAGGGGGCACCAGTAAT